CACACTTGGCGCTGAAATCTGGCCGCGCACGAGGCTGAGACTTGTTACTCCCCCCATTCGTGGCCTTCGGACGTTTAGATTGTGCCTTCCCAGTGCTGTCTGCTGCTGACACTTTGCGCTTGCCGGCTTTGGCGACGCACGCGCTGCAGATGCGGTGATTCTCGTTGCCTACATCAACCACACTGCCGCAAATGCCGTGCAGTCGCCCGCCACATCCTCCCTGGCAGCCGTGACCATGAGGGTCTTGCGGCGTGGTGTCCTGTAGTTGGCACAGTTCACCTTCCGCACAGGGCATGGTACGCCCCTGTGTAGAGCTGTTCGGGTCTGCAGCAGCACGTGTACCCTATTTCTGTGTGTGGAGTCTATGTTTTCTGCCCTGGGTTGTGCGTGTGTGTGTTTCGCGCGTGCGGAGTACCGGCACTATTGGGGGTGACAGCAGTGCCGAACCGGCACTATATCGGGCATGCTTTAATTAGTGCCGGTCTGGCACTATTGAGAGCTCCGCCTGTGTGCAGAGATTTTACCGGCACTATACCGGGCATCTGGCAATATTCAACCGGCACTAAAAGGGTCCCTCGACTGTATTTGAAAATGCTCATGATGAGACGGCTTCAATACCGTCGTTCTCGGCGTTTCCGCTTTTCCTGCTGTAGAGAAATCGAACTTTGGAAATCGACCCATGGGTGTGTGTTATCTCATGGCACCTGTGGTACACTTCCTCATCGTAGACATGGTACCAGCAGCAAGGCACGCGCGACGGGTGCCAATGGGGATGTTTGAATTTCGGGTAGGTCTGGTGCCAGGGCATCTCCAAATCCACAAACACAACGTGCGATCTCGCTCGCTGGTGTCTTTAACCAGTGCCCCTCACTAACCGTGGACATGCTGCCGTGGACATGCTGCCCTAGATTTCGGCATCAGTAGGTACGGCTCTGGCAGCTCGCCCACGAAGCCCGCCAGGAGTAAGGTTCTTCACCAGGATAGAAGGAGAGAAATCCTGGAAAATATCTCCAAGGGTCGGGTTAGCCCGGGTATGTCGGCGCTTTCGTTGGCCTTGTATCGTTCTTCCTTGTGCCCTGTTTTTTCCTTCTCTGAAATTGCGGCGCAACAATCCTCATTCCTCGTTCAACTTGTGTGCAGTCGGTTCGGGCACATCCTCACGCCAGGGGACCTTGAATCTCTGCTCCCTTCTCAAGACCCCGCTGTAGCCTTCCACGTGGCAAGACTGAAAACCCTCATGCTGTCCCAACATCAACGCCAACAGCAACAGCACCAAGCACCGGTTGCACGTTCAGCCGATGAAGAGGATGTCGACATGTCGCCTCCAACAACAGGGACAACGACGACTCCCGCCGTAGCAGCAGCCGTGAGAATGGGTGGCAGTGGCCGCGGGGGCGGCGGAGACAACAGCGGCGGGGCTAGGGTGCGCAACCGGCGGTATAGGAGGCTGCAGCAGCTGGCAGAAGGAGGGGTTTGGTTCAGCGACGAGGCGATGAAGGAGAGAGACCCCTGGCTGTGGTTCGAGTACGTGGGGAAACGAGCGGGAGAGGAGAAGCCGGCGCCAAAACGAGCGGTAGAAGAGGTATTTTTTTTTTTTTGCTGTTGTTTGCTGCGCCGTAAGAAAATCTACTCGACCGTTCCGGTTGTCCCCCAAGTGGCCCTACGGGGACAAGGCGATGGGCGTTGCTCAACGGTTGTTGATGTTGAGGCATTGCATGCGCGTCCTGGCGGTGTCTTTGATTCGGCCGCAAGTTCCGAGTTGTATTAATGGAGGTGGCAAATCAGCATTGCTCGCATTTCCGAAACACCGCGTTCACGAACTGACGCGCTCTTGGCGTGGTGATGACGTTACCCCTGATCCTTAGCTCCTGAATACTGCTGTACCCCCGGCCGTGTGCGAAAAGGTTCCCGGAAGCACGTCAGTTGGCACGTATCTTCAGGAAAGCTTGGGCTTCCTGTCCCAGAAACAACCGAATGGGGGGTGGCCCACAGGTTTGCCAACTTCTGGCGCTGGTGCTGGTGCCGGTGCCGGTGCCGGTGCCGGTGCCGGTGGTTCGAGGGGAGCTGGTTCGTCGTTAGGGATGGCGTTTCTCTCCGGCGTATGCGCAGGTGGGTTCGATGAGGACGGGGGGGGGAACGGGGGCCATTCTTCACGCCACGGCCGTACCTCACCGGACATAACTAGTTTGTCCAGACCGGAATTGGGAACACTGCTGCTAGCTAGGAGTGTCGTTTTGGGGTATCGTGCGCAGCAAGCGCTAAGCGGGGTGAATTGCTAGCCCCGCTGTAGAGCTGGCGAGAGGTACCAATGTCCTTCCAGCGGTGTTTGTGTTTGATGGGCAGTTTTGAAGCAGCCATCGGTGTCGAACCAGGTGCCAATACGAGAGCTATATATATCCACAGCGTCACCGCCGAGTTTGGAAGTGATAGTGCGGCCCGGGTCTGTCGAAGAGGAACAACTGAATCTTGACCAAGTCCGGTGGATCACGAATCTTGGAGCGCTTGTTGTGACCCCGCCCCCCCCCTCCCCGACACGCCTCATTGCTTTGTCTCGATTAGGAAAGCGCTTTATAAGCTTCTGGCAAGCATTATTGGTCCAGGTTGCCCGCCCACCCTTGTCGTCGATGTGTGTCCCACCGGAACTTGGCCTCCTCGTTATAAATCGGTAGCAAACGCTGGCGCTCGAGATGTGGCGGCGGGGAAAACGGTAGATTCTAGTGATGTCCCAGAAGCGGCATCGCCGCAGGCAGAAGTGAAGGGAGTTCATTTCGCTTCCGGGATGCCTGATGACCGGGAGCGGTATGCCTGCGAGGACGACGTGGATGCTAGCGCAGCGGCGGTGACGGCGGCGGTGGGAGCTATCGGTCTCCAAGACGATGGAAAGAAGGCCGACGTTGAAGGCCGACGCGTTCGATTTTCGGATGAAATGGGTTCGGATGGCGGAGGGGGGTCGGGTGGAGGGGATGATGGAGCGCAGGATGGGAATGGCGATGACGGGATGCACGAAGAGGAGGAGGAGGAGGAGGAGGAGGAGGAGGAGGAGGAGGAGGTGGGGCGAGAGGCGGTCGCCCGAATTCTGTCCGAGAGGTTTCTGGCCGGGTTGGAGCAGGGCGTGGACTACAGGAGCGTGGACGGGGACGAGAGGCTGGACGACTTGGACCAGCTCTCGAGGGACGAGGTGCGCTTGGGCTCGCCGCAGGCTTTGTCGTTGCTGTTGCTGGTGTTGCAGCTGCACTACCAGGCGTTTTGGGCGATGATTGTTCAGCCGTCGTCACATTTCGTCTTGGTCCTGTTTGATAGAAACAAAGTGTTCCACGCCTGAGATGTGCACGCATCATCCACCTGTTGCACATCACCCCACTTACGTAGGTTTCGTAGCCTTGACAAGGAAATCGAGGAACAACCCGTGACAATACAATTTCGACGGTTTCATGAGCGTAGGCTCGTTGAGTCGGTGTCAGCGCAACATCACGACTCTAGGTTCCTACGAGCGAGGATGCGCCGTTGAGAAAGAAAAGTGTCGAGCTTTGTCGGTGGAGGCTTTAGGTCTGTTGGGCACGGGCTTAGACATGGGGACCGATATTTCGATACGAACGTGCCGCTAGAGATCGTCAGTCTTTGACAGATGCCGTCATACATGAAACTCTTGATTCGTCCTCCATGCTTGTTGATGTGACTGTTGTTGTATATTCTCGGTACCGAACTCTACCTATTGTTCCTTCCCTCTGTCCCTCCTCCTGTACGTCCTCTTGCACATGCCCGTGTGTTGTGCCTACCTCCACTCCACCAACTCCCTCCTTGTGGCGGGCATCCTATGCCACTGCCGTCCAGCAAGATCGATGGTTCCTGGGCGAGGAAGAGGACAGCTCCATGGACTCAGTTACCTAGGTTGAGAATGCCCCATGGCTTGGGGCCTGTAAAGATAGCGCGCGCTTCTCGAGCTTGCATGCATCCTGTCGACCATGTGGATTCCCGTACGCTATTTCCACTCGACGACGCCTTGTTTTTATGAAGGGCGTGCTTCGAATGCAATGCAAACTCTCAGGGTGGTCGTTCTAACCCCTGGTGTTTTTCAGCGCTCCCATTACTGCTGCTGGTGACCAGAGTCTTGGCTGAGTTACTCTTCCGTCGTCGGGCGCAGCGAATGTACGAGTGCACGAATCGAGGTCGACTTGACACGGTGTCCGTTGGCTGCTTTTGTCGAAGTAGCTTCGGTGAATGCAACCGCTAGACTGGTCGTTCTCGGGTTGTAATCGAGATAAAGCATGCAGCAGTGCCTGGCCAGCTCCACGAGCCCGAGTGCATGGAGCTGAAGTCGGTGATGTCTGCCGCTGGCCGCCTCTTCTGTGTGCGCCGCTTCTTTTAGACTATCGGTTTTGATTACCCTTTGTGTTGCTTAAAGTGTTGCACGCTATCTGCGCGACTCGTTTTCTGCTACCCTCGGATCCTCGGATACTTGATGAGCATAACAACGTGGGCACTGTTCTCTGTTTCATGAGAACCTCACCCAAGATCGAACGGATGTAATTTCGTGTTGTTTATTGATATGCAGCTCCGGTGACGGCTCTTGACGTTAAAGCAAAATGCTGCTATATCCCGCGGCGGCGAGTGTTCATTTTGCTCGCAAAACGTCACCTCTCATAAGGTTGGCTTTTCAGCGAGTCTTCAACTTCGCATACCCTTTTCTCGACCCGCATGTAACGGAGATATGCCGTGCGTGTAATGTTTCTTTTTTCAAGTGCCGGCAAAGGGCATTAAACCGGCTGACAAATTTCCAAATGGACAAAGCCAGATGGAGAGTAATGCTTCGCACATCTCCAAGAATAGAACGATCAGGCACATGTTGTAGTACCGGTCAAGAGGAGAAGACGATTTCGCACCAAGAATTCAGTCTAAAAACCACTTATTCACATAAAAGCGCCACTCAACTTATAGGTCACCGAGCGTCATTGTGGTGAAAAGGAACAAGCACTTCGTCGGGCATTTGTGAACAAAAGATCGATCGGGTTGCGTCGGATTCTGAAAACATGATCATGTGGTTCACGGTCAGTCGTGCGCACCGGGCGAGTATCTACCTGTCATGAAACCTAGTATCCTTCATTTTTTGAACATCGGCTAGGACTGAGAGAATCGCTACATGCATGTGCGCTGTACGTGATACGTGCATGTGTAGTCTAGATCCCAAGCAAAAGAAAGTATAGGATCTTACCAAACAAATCTTGCCGCATAGGGGGCGCGGCGCGCACACGGGAAAATGGATTTTGGTGGGTACCGCTCTGAGAAACAAATGTACCACCTGCGAAGCGCTGCCTTGGCCGCGTGTACGGCAACGCACACGACGCATTGTGTAGTCTTTTGCAGAGCTGGTCCATCGCGTTGAACATGGAGAGCCGCAACATCGCGCTCCTCGGGGCCTTGCTGTTCATCTGCCGACCAGCGTCCGCCTTTGTGTCCGTAGTAGGGCCCGTGACCGCCAACAACGGGGGAGCAGGTTTGAGTGCGCCGCGAAGCCCCTCAGCGCCGTGGAACGAGCATGCCAGAGGGCAGCAGCCAGTGTCACCGCTAACGGGGAGGCGGAGCCGTGCTGGTACCGCGTTGTCGATGGGGGCGAAGTCGGTGAGAGCCTATGTTGTGGCCTGGCGTGGGAGAGTTGGTGGTCAGCATGCGTTTGTGCTTTTAGACGGTGGGCCGGATGACGCCAAAGGGTGTTGTTGTGCGTGAGGCCGCGGACGGCTGCCCGCATGATTTGCATACCTCCCTTGAATCATGTGCAACAACGACCGCCGTGTGGTGGCTGGACTAAGGCGCGGTGATACCCTGCCGTTTATCCTTTGTCTTGCCCCTCTTGCTAGGGCTGGGCCTGTGCCGCGTTTATACTCAGCAGCAGTTACCTTGCGACCGAGTTGAAGCTCGTTCACGCAAACGTCAACCTTGTCTGTTTGTGGTCCTCCCTCATGTCCTCTCCCTCCTTTTCCGAGAGGTACACACGTGTACTGCTGTTACTACAACTACTGCAGGCAACAGAGGCATGGTCGTGACGCGAAAGATAGGCAGCAGTGCCAAGCGTGTACAGTAATCGGGTATTTCTTCCCGCCACCCTTTCCTCATCAGCTGGTCCGGGTGGCCGTTTCCCAGCGCGTGTTGACACGCTTATGTATGCATATGCAATGCATCTTTTTCAGTTTTTTTTGTTTCGTCACACCAACGGACAACCGCGAAACGACGGCTGCTGTGCGGCATGCCGCGTCCATCCAGGCAGCGCTTGTGCTGAGATGTATTTTGAAGCTTTCGTGAATGTGGTTTTGCTGGCTTTCGCGTGCATGGCGAGTTCGGTACTCGCCACTGCTGTATCCCTTGCGTGGTGGCGAAATTTGCGTGTCTCTGTTGTCAAAGTACATAATCAGTCTAGAACACACCCGTCGCCCCTGTGGTCTAGTGGGAAGCCTCACAGCCTGCCAAGGGCCAGGTCATGAGATCGAGTCCCGGCAGAGAGTTTTTTTTTCTCACTAAATAAATTCTGGTCTAGGATAAAAGCGACGCGCTGCAAAGCTCGTTCGTTAGTAAACCATAATCGACTTCGTGAGTCGCGAGGGAAGGGATTGCTGTACCCTTCTCGCGATAAAAATACCTCAGGCATGAACCGCAGGAGGGGGTCCAATCCCCCCCCTCCTACGTGACCCCGGTTGGGTCGTCTAGCTAGTAGAAGTGGAGGGTAGGGGCCAGAGGGGCAGACGACAGAGTCCAATGATGGGAGGAAAAAAAAACAAACAAGTAGCCAGACCGTTGCATTTTTGCGGGGTTATGTACTGTTCCAGAAGAGGTCACACAGTGCGCTAAATAGTCGTTCTCCTGTATGTGATAAACGATGCCGTAGGGTTTATTCAGCCTTCATTTTCCGTCGCCCATTCTTGTGACGATTATTGCACTTGGGAAGATGGAATTGAAGAGCAGGGGTTGGAACAGCAGTACGAGGTGGGCGTGGTTGGGCTGCTGGAGTTACCAAATCTGGGCCAAGTTGCACGCGAACCGCTGCGAACAACACCTTGGCCGCCCTGAGTTGGACCGACAGATACGTGTCCATGCGCGCCCCCAAGAACGAAAACATATAATTCGCTCACACAGCACACTTTTTTTGTCTTTGCCTTGAGTTTGCTTCGTCACCAAGCAACGCCATGCTGAGCAAAGGACGAAAACCCTACTTAAAGTAATAAAGTCTGTTTGAAGGTTTGGAATTGTGCCAACGCCATGGTCTTGACTAATGTATGCATGCACGTGAATCCATCCCTGTATACCCAGGTGGTCTTTGGAGAAGACGCCCGCAAGAAGCTCGCGGACGGCATCAACGCGGTTGCCGACGCGGTCAAGGTGCGTCTCAATTGATTTTGAATTGTTCTCGCTCCAGTTTTACACATTATGCCGCATGTTGTCAAATCGGTACAACAGGCAGGTTAGTCTCTGGGGCTACGCAGAGCGCAGGTCGGTGGGGTGCGTTTTTGGTTGTTGTGAGCCAAGAGGGCCGTTAACGCCCTCAAGATTGCACCGTTCTTGAGATATGACATGTGTGCCATGTGTACGACGGGATCGATCGGGGTTGATAGACCTTTGACAAGCTTGGTGTTGTTAGTGACCTTTCGTTTCGATTCTCAAGCCAGTCGTTCTCGTTCGACCGGCTGAGGCTGCTGTGCCAGTGGCGGTCTCATGGTGTGGACTGACGTGAGCATGTGTGTAGTCTATCTAGATTTCAGCAGGGACGAATGATAGGCATAGCATACGAAGGTCGATCCGACAAGGTACGCCAACAGCCAACACATGACGACCAACCGGCGGTCCATCCACCACACCACCTCAGCTTACGTCGCGCCACGCGGTCAAAATCATCAAGGTCACGTTCTACTGATAGCTCCCGCCGGGTAACGCTGACCCAGGCTTTCCTCTGGACAAATGCCAGCATTCACACCGCCGTCCAACTCATTGAAGTGTCGGTTGGTGTTCCCTATTAAGATACGGAGTATTTCTTTTTGGAACGATATTTTATCATGCTCCAAGACAAAGAAAAACGGGACGATATTTCTGGTACGAATTACAACTCGTTATTCCTTCGGGAAGATGTTTTTATCATGCTCCCCAACACAAGAAAACGGGGCAAGCCATCATATTTCATTTTGAAAATATGAAAACGTCGACGACTGTTACCGTCGTCCAGGTGACCCTGGGGCCGAAAGGCAGGAACGTGGTGCTCGAGCGGGCGTACGGCGCCCCCGAGATCGTCAATGACGGTGTGACCATCGCCAGGGATATCGAGGTCGAAAACCACGAGGAAAACGTCGGCGTTAAGCTCGTCCAGGAAGTAGCGCAGAAGTCGGACAACAGGTGATGAGGGACGGACGAAAAACCAACCCTGATTGCACGCAATTTTTTTTTTTCGGTATCTTCCATGCTTTGTTTTCTGCTTTTGGCCATTTGTTTTGTTGGTATGTTTTTGTTGTTTGCTTTCTCATCTCTTCACAAGTAAGTGTGGAGTGCCACCCTTTCGGCGGTAGTGTTTGGATGTGCTGGTGTGGGTCGGTCCCATGAGGGTCTCGTGAGTTTTTGCATTCCTTCGCAAGAGTCACGGGAGATCTGTGTGCACGGCACAACAGCAGCGGCAGCAACGTTGGTCCAAACGAGACAGTACAGCTACCAGAAAGTGGCTAATGCGCGAGCGATACCACTCCAAGGTGTCAGGGTTGTGCGGTATGTTGGGTGTCTGTGCGGGTGCTGGCTGCTGGCATCGTTCCACGGAACGACTTTTACCCACACGAAGAGGCGTTATTGCGTGAAAGTCACGTAACATTCTCCCCTTGGTCGGGCAACAAGACATGAGTTCCAGCCACAACCTACTCCTCTCGACCATCTGAATCTTTGTCCGTCACTACTGCTGTTTTTTTTTGTTTTCGTCGAACCCGTATTCAGGGCCGGTGACGGGACGACGACGTCGACCCTCCTCACCCAGGAGATCGTGAACCAGGGCATGCGTCTCGTGACTGCGGGCGCCAACCCGGTGGAGTTGCGGCAGGGCATCCTGGCTGCCTCGGGCATGATCATCGAGGAGATCAAGAAGCTGGCTGTGCCCGTCGGGAAGAACGAGGTGTGTGTGTGTGTGTGTGTTTTGTCTTGTGTTTGGCTGCACCAATCAAGAGACGTCAGTCTCAGTGCGGCTAAACAAAGAAAAACTTTTAAAGTAGTTGAGTGTTTCTCGTTTTTCGCGTGTATCCTATTCAGTAGGCATACATGTCCTGGTAGGCATCGACCGCGCCAATCGGCTGACAATTGAAATAGCGTATGTATACATGCGGATTAAAAATGTCAGGGTTGTCCTCGTTAAATTATCCGCGGAAATGTTACCGTAGTGAAATCACGACAATTGCCGTTTCCGGCGATCCCGTGAACAATGAAAATTACCGTTCCCATCCATATCGTTTCCGTGATAAATTGGTCTTACCGTTAACGCCCAAACCGTTAACGAACAAATTGAAGTGCCCCATTACCGTACGAAATATACCGCGGAAAAATCGGAATTCCCGTGCTTTGAAGTTACCGCGGAGTACGTTTCCGTAAGAACAATCAAATCCCATCTACCGCACAGAAACACCAATTGCATTAGCGTCCACCACAGCAAAATGCTCATGTGCCCCTCTAGGCCAAGAGGTAAGCGCTTTTTCCAATAACCTGCGCGAGGGCAAGGGTTCGAGCCCGGCTTCACCCTTTTTTCTCCCACTTTGGTGGTTCGATGTTTTAGGGGGGGCTGATGCGTGGGGGTTGTTCTCTAGTATTGTTTATGGATGAGGAGGGCGGTGCTTTCTTTTTGGCTGTCCTGTTGATGACATATTACTTGGCCAGCGATGGACTTGCGTCGTCTTTAGGCCACGAGAGCCTGCCGGTGCAATGAAGTGGGTATAGACTATGCTGTCTGGTTTCTACGCTTCGTTTTTATGCGACCGTTTTGGTTGACGGGTGTGATGCCCGGTGAATGTGCCGCGCACGTTTGGTGTGTGGTCACCACACCCTTAGTCTTGTCTTGAAAGCTCCACGTGTTTTGGTGTGGTGAACTGTACAATATATACGGTGGTGACCTGTTACGGTAAAGAATCACATTGCTGTGCATTACCGTGGTGGCTGGTTGCCGTGCATCAATTACCGTGGTGACAAGTTACCGTGCGGAATCTACCGTGGTGGCCAGATACCGCCAAAAAATTACCGTACTGTGCCGTGGTGGCCAGTTACCGCCCAACAAATTCTGTTTTGTACCGTGGTGTCTGGTTAACGCGGGAAATTATGCCGACATGAAAAACCGTTAACTGTCATCGGCCTTCTCTGTGTGTTGTTTCTTTTGCACCGCCGGGGCTAGCCAGCTGCCCAATACAAAAACGTCAGAGTCTTGTATGCATACAATGTAGCGGGATAAACATGACGAACAAACACGCTTGCTAACGTAGCGTGTGCGTGCCGACGCCATGCGACGCCCACCATTCATTCTGCCTTCCTTCGTCTTCCTATTCCTCTTCCTCCTGCCTTGTCTCAGGACCTCCTCAACGTCGCTACGATCGCCAGTGGATCTTCCACCATGGGAAGCATCATCGCCAAGGCCTTTGAGAGGGTGAGGTGATGGTTGCCTGGCTTCCTTGACAGAAGTGTCGCGGTTGAGTGTTTAGTCGGTGTAGCCTCGGCTGCTCTGTGAGAGGACAGCGTGGCTGCTTTTTTTATTGCTGCTCGTTCGATTCTCGGCGAATTGTATTGGCCGTGACCTAGCGAAAAAACGCTCGGACCCTCCCACATGTCAGACCCGGGTTTGTTTAGTTATTCCGAGTGCAAGGTAAAAGCAAGCGTAGACTATTGTACCGGTTCATGGTGTTGTTTGTGGTTTCCCTAACCACACCCTCTGAAACAAAACCAAATGTGATTTCAACTTTCCTTACACCAACAATTTGTGTTGGTTCCTCGGTTGCAAGAAGCGCCAATAAAACCTTATCTGCTTGACGTGTGTTTTGCCTTGCACACGACAGAGAGCGATTTTGTTTGCTACATGCAGCATGAACTGTCAACAAGCCCTACCTTGGCTCGTTGTTCTCATCAACTGAACCGATGTGAAATAGCTTAGCCGTCGAATAAAACAAGCCCAGACCATTCGATGGTCACCAAGTTTCTCGACACTACTTCAATAATGACTTGTCAAGGTTTTGGACTGTTGCAGGTACATCGGCCATTGTAACATGTGGAGCTCGTTGAGATTGACCGCCATTGATTCGTTGTTCCCATGGACGTACGCTTGTTCTGCCTGCCTGTTCTATTCATACACCAAACACCCAACGCCAAGGTCGGGGACACCGGGTCCACCGTAGTGGAGGAGAGCCAGACCCTGGGTGACGAGGTCGAGTTCACGGAGGGACTCACGATCGACAGGGGCTACCTGTCGCCCTACTTCATCAGCGACCAGGAGCGCTCGCTATGCGAGTTTAAGAACCCTAAGGTGGGTGGGGAGAGATGCTACCTGAGTTATTTGGTTGTCGATCGCGAGTGTAGCCAAAGATGAGAGAGGGGGAAGCAATCCGTCGTAGTGTCTCGTATTTGTTTTCATCAATGTTCTTTGATAATATAAAGACCCAGAAAGGCTACCCTTTGTTTCGCAAGCCATCCCCTTTTTTTATGATCTTTTTTGCGAAAAACACAACAAATCAATCCATCTCTTCCATGTTTACTTGTTTTGCCGGGCAAGATGCTTATCACAAGTTTGGCCGAAGACGATAGAAAGGGAATCAATCCGTCGCAAGCCGTCCACCTTTTTTTTTGTTGCTGGTGCTGGTGCTGGTGCTGCCGCCGTTTCAGATCCTGGTAACGGACAAGAAGATCGACCAGGTGAACGACCTGATCCCCCTCCTGGAGGCCATGGTCCAGGCCAAGGAACCCCTCCTGATCATGGCCGAGGACGTTGTCGGTGAGGCGCTCTCGGCCCTCGTGGTGAACAAGATGCGAGGAGTGCTGGACGTGGTGGCCGTGAAGGCGCCCTCTTTCGGAGAGAGGCGCAAGAACTACCTGCAGGACATCGCGATCGCCACCGGCTCCACCTACGTGGCGGAGGAGGTCGGCCTTACTCTGGACCAGGTATGTAACAGGTACCATATTTGGTTAGCTTGTTTATGGTGTTATAGTCAGCTCAGTCTGGATGGGTTCCTGTCCTCCTTAGCTCAGGTTGGATGGGTTATGTCCTTTCACCTCATGTTGGTGGCGCCATTGCTTATCTCAGCACATTCCGTCTGCGCCGATCTTGTCTTGATGTTTCGTGGTGTGGTATGGTACAACCGGGGTTGTCCGCGTTTGGCGTTGTCGCCTCCCACGGAGCCCCGGCAAACACCACCCCTCCTACGTTTATTTTGCGCTGCACTCAGTGTGAGAACAGCCGACCTAGATATTGACGACATATGTTCAGCTGAGGTCCCCGATATGTGACTTTCTCAAGCGTGTGGCGTCCTAAATAAATAGCTCTAGTGACAAACTCTTGACCGCTGTGTATAGTCAAGTAGAATTGGCGACACAATCAACACACAAGACTACACTTTTCCTGCCATGTATGGGTCCCGGCTGTACTGGGATCGACCTGCCTTGGTTGCGTCGGTACCGCACAGTAACCACCATCACAATTGCCGCCGTTGTTGCTGCTGCTGCTGCTGCTGGCAGACCTGGGGCCTTATCTGGAGGTGTGTGTGACTTTTTAGCATTCGGCGACGCTGCACCTATCGAAACTGGCGTCACATCCGTTTGTTGATGCTCCCTGTGTAGGTTCAAGCCTTGAGCCACAACACTACTCGGGCTAGCCTTGAGCCTGGTCCAGTCTAGCCCCCCTCCCCTTGCAGGTTAATCCTTGTGAAAATCTAGGCTGGGCCGGCGACAACCCGGCATGTCGCTCCTTCCCAGCTGCAAAGCCACTGTTCGAACGACTACAAAGCATGCATTTACATGAGCATCCTAACCCACCCGGCTCTACGAAGCATGCGTTTATATGAGCATCCCACCCCCCCACCCCTACGTGTGGTGCCTCGTTCATGTTCGTGTTGTCCAGGTTAAGATCGAGATGCTCGGTACGGCAGACCGCGTCGTGGTGATGAAGGAGCAGACGACGATCGTGTCGGATGGGAGGAACGACGAGGCGGTGAAGGCCCGCATCAAGACCATCCGCAAGGATGCCGAGACCAGTGACAGCGCGGTGAGTTTTTGCGTTTTTTTTTTTTTGTTCTCTTGGTGAGAGTTGGGTGCCTATGCTTGCTCTCTTTGGTGCACATGGTACGTTGTTTTACTTTACAATGGGACAATGGATTGCTGTTGAGTACTCTGGTCGTGGTGATTGCACCGCATCAGGACGTATTGCAAACGTGCTGACGAATGCACAAAGATGTGCGATCGATCGAATATTGAAATGCGATTGCTCGACAACCAAAAGGGCCTGACAATGCCGAAACGGGTGGTATTGTGTCAATCTCTTGGCCAGCTTCCCTCCCTCTGATGTGTCGGACGTTTTCGGGTTCTGGTTTCTCACCATCGTGGTTGTGTAGCTATCGATCTTGAAGAGATCTGCCGCCCACTCGTGCACGATACGATCGTGTATCAGAACTGTCCTCTTTCCTAATTTCCGCTGGGATGTTGCTTGTTGTTACTCGAACCCTGCTCCGTGATATGGTACGGTAACCCATGCTCTCCTGGAACCTCTCCGTTTCTCCTCGAAACCGTTTCCCCACAGTTCGACAAGGAGAAGGCGGATGAGCGTGTCGCTGCTCTCGGTGGGGGTATCGCTCGAATCAAGGTGACTTAAAGGGCCACTGGAATCACATGCAGAGGGTTGTTTTGGGTGTTCTTGTTCTATGGTTGTTGCTGTCTTCGCATGAGCGAGGACGTGTGTTTGCGAATGGAAGGACTTTTGGTTTCTAGGGCATATGAGCTTCGATTGCAAGGCATGTGAGCTTCGGTTACTCTACATGCCCCAATTTTCCTGCAACCAATGCATGCCGTATACACTGTCCGAGATCACGTAACTGACGGTCTGATGCCCCCCCACGCCAGGTTGGTGCGGCAACCGAGACCGAGCTGAAGGACAAGAAGCTGCGTTACGAGGACGCCTTGAACTCCGTGAAGTCAGCCCTTGAGCTGGGGATCGTTCCCGGTGGCGGTGCCTGCCTGCAGTACCTCCAGAGGATGGGTGAGTTAGCTGCCGTTGCCGTTGGTGTTGGCGTCGGCGTCGGCGTCGGCGTCTTCTCTGGCAACAGGTGTGACGCGAGCCCTCGTCCAATCGTCAGAAGGGTTGCGACTTTGCGTACTGAAGGAAGGTTGTAAATATTGTGGCACCTTTCAACGTTGCAAGTTTACCTTCTGAACAAATATTGCGCTACGGTCGTCCCCGCTTCAAAGACGCACATGATTTTTTTAGAGAGTAATCATCACCTCACAGAAAGACTGCCCGTTCGAGACATAACCTCGGTCGAAAGGGATGTGGTGAAGTCTTTTCAGTAAGTGGATTGAAACCAACTGGAGACTTGGCTTATTTTGAGTTTGTGTAAGCCTACCACTGAGTCATCAGTAATGCCAGTTGGAGCTAAGAACGACAGCATCTGTATAGGCGGATACATTCTTAATTTTATGTGGAATGTGGCCTTCACAGGGTACATATGGTGCAGTGTCGTTGGACAACTGCTGTTTTTTGGTTTGTACTTTGAAAGGTTCCTAAGCGCGGGCAGGTGTCCTTAAGATTCCGGGGGTGATAGCTGTGTGATGCCTCACCGTCCCCGGGGTTGGCTAGGCGCAGCATGCGTCAAAAGACGCCCAATTGCGGCCGGGATACTAGCACGACACATCATGCTACTCATTATCGCAACGTTGTGTTGGTTGAAAGCCGCAAGTACTTACAATCCACGCCGTTCGCCGTTGAATCTTTACACTGTAACACTCCACCCCCTACATGACTCTTCAAACAGTGGGTTGGTCCTGCAGGACGAGATATTTTGATTACGGCAATGCGGTGGTGTTGTTGTTGTCGTCGTCTTCGCATTGAAAACCGTTCCCGTCTCCGCTCATTACCTTCTAATGTCCGTACTGGTCCAACTGACACGGACGCCGTCCGTCCGTGGTCACAAGCCAACTGCCCCCAAAGGAGGTATACACGTTATGAAAAAAATGAAATTGACACCAGAACAATTCCTTCAAGGCGCGATTTGTTTTGCTACCCAAACGCATCTGATGTTTTTGGCGTCGTCCCCACGTTGAAAATTTTGCCGTAATGCGTGTGCGGCAACCTCATTTGGGGGGTCCGGTGTGATGAAAACAATACCCACCCTGCATTGTATATCTGCGGGGCACCTTGCTTGTAAGATTCTTCGTGCCCTCAGAGCGGGGCCCACTGCTGTATCTTTCAACGTTTGCTTTGCTTTGGTTTCTTATGTCACATCTTGCTCCGCCGTTGTCGTGTCCCGCGTGTGGTTGCGTGTGTTCTCTGCACTCGCTCGTCTGGGCTGGCGACCCATGTGGTCAGACGAAGAGTTCCGGGCCCGTGTGGAGGGCGAAGACCGCAAGGCCGGCGTGGGCATCCTCATGCGCTCCCTCAGCGCCCCTATGATGCAGATCGCGAAGAACGCAGGTAGGCACAGCACTTGCCATCGCTCCCAATCGGGGAGCCATGCCATGGCATCGCTACAGTGTAGCAGTACTATCAATATCAATATTTGGTTAGTTTCTCGGGCATGTCCTTGGTCATTAACCATGCAGGATGTCGTGGCTATGCTATGCTACGAGTCGCCACAAGTCACACAGAAGATTTCGTCTTTGATGGTAGACCGACAGAGCTCGCGCACTCTCGACCGAGTAAATTATGCTTGCAGTGTTTTCGGTGGACTGGCTCTCATTTTGTCCGCCTCTTCCTTCCGGGGACTGTCTGTTGCTGGGCAGGCGTGGAGGGCGGGATCGTTGTCGCCAAGTGCGAAAACAAGGACTGGGGCTTCGGCTACAACGCGGCAAACTCTGAGTACTGCGACCTGCTGAAGGCGGGTGTCCTCGACCCGGCAAAGGTATCAATTGGAACATTACGTGACGTAACAATACTTGTGTTGGTGTATACATAGCCCATTTTTTGGGGTTAGGGTTAGGGTTGTAGCCCATCGGTTGCGGGAAAGGAAAGTGTTTCGTTCGGGCGTCCTCGATTTTCGATTCTACAGGAACGCTACGGACACGGCGGGAACATGTCTTGTAAGCAAACAGCGACGGTGTTTTGACGGTGGTTTTCGGCCTGCGGTGATGAATGAGTGAAGATGTTGCGGCCTGGTCATGTGCAGCCATGATGTTGCCATAGGTGCGCTCGTGCCGTTCGATGGCATGTAGCAGTAGCCAGGTGGGCCACGGAAGGTCAAAGCCACAAGGGCGGGCAAGAAATGCATAAATGAAGATGGAGATACACGCTCCTCACGCTCCGTCGTCTCGAGGCAATGGTCTTACCGCTATGGCATGAAAAACATGAATGTGCGCCTCCCCCCCCGCTTCCTTCGGTGCCACTGATGACGCAGGTGACGATCAACGCGGTGGAGAACAGCGCAAGTGTGGCCTCGTTGGTCCTCACCACCGAGTGCCTCATCGCCGAGATCCCCGTGAAGGTGTCCGAGGCACAGCAGCAAGCCAACTACGACGCCATGGGCGGCGGAGACTACATGTAAACCGTCGTGGTATCATAGGATCTTGCACCCCAACCAATACTCCATTGATACGGGCCGTGGATGGCGGCGAAGACTGCCGTAGTATTGAACATGCAGGGCACGGTGAAAAGCCATCCCTAACACGTGCAATAAGCGGTTAGGATTAAGTGGAAAATCCGGCCTGCCTGCGGAAGTCTGACCGAGGGGAGCGTTGTGATGGGCTGTGACTCGACTTTGCTGCGTGAGCCTAGGGAAACTCGAGTGCAGGCGCACCTAAGCTTTTTTTGTCAGGAGAGGTTGGGACGTTGTGTTGGGCAGAGGCCAAGGTCTTGCTTTCGCCCTTGGGGTAGACGGGAGCTCCGAGTGAAGGCCCTGCTCGGTTCATTTGATTGGGATGTGCTATTTTAGTTAGTGGTGTAGTCGGTAGGGGGGTTAATCAACACTCTTGTTTTGATGTTTTTGCCTGCGGTCTCAGATGCGCTCTTTTACTACTCGTGTCTATAGGAGGGTTGGTGACCGAACCGCGGTCTAGACTTGCACGCACACATGTGCCCCCCGCCGGTGCCGGCGGGGGAAAGGTCGATGCGACGTTTTCTGTCGGTCGGATCTTAAGTCGATTCCTTGGCTGACCTTATCGTCGAAGGTTTTGGCTTAGGGACGGAGGTTGGAATATGCCAACTAGAGGAGGCGGCAGCCAGTTGCGTAATTATGTGCGGGGAAACCGTGTTTGGCCGATCTGCACCTGTAGTAGCGTGGTTTTTTGGCACTCTTGGCACTCCGTCGAACGACGCAGACCCGCTAGGTTTGCATTCGCGTTCGGGAGACGGCGGGGTACATGTGTTTGGGGCGCGTTCATTGTAGAGGGGGGGAATATACTCATTCCGATCATTAACCGACGTTTGCTGGTTATTATCTAGGTGCTGGCATGGCACGAGCAACAGTCCGGCGCCAATCAAAGTTGGATGTGGAAACCGTCTCCCACCTCCTCCACGGACCCCATTACCTACACACATCCGCCCTTGTTTGGAACAAGTTTATCATCCGTCTGGTCGAAGGTAGTAACTCCTACTAATGATCCACTCATTCTCTTGTCCCATGCCATTTTGTTTCTACGGGTGGGTGGGGCTGCGACGGCCATAAGGGACAAATAGTACTTGCTACAAATAGTAAACCCTTAGCAGGATGCAGCGCACCCTTCATGCGACTCGCCGAATATCTCACGGCGCTTCGCGCTTGGTGACGTGAGAGCCTGGTCCGGTGAGAACCCGGCGTGCTCCGTCCCGGCTTTGTAGGGATGCGAGGTCAATGGTCTAACGACTACGGCATNGGGATAGCTACATACTGAAACCTCACGAGTTGAGTGATGTTGGAAAGTGCCGGACACATAACGCTTGAGGGAGGAAAGGNTACTGAAAGCTCACAGATGGATTGGTTTTTGAGTTTGCCAGACACATACATAGACGCGCTGCGTGGAGATAGCTAAATTTACATACTGAAACCTCACGAGTTGAGTGATGTTGGAAAGTGCCGGACACATAACGCTTGAGGGAGGAAAGGCACATACTGAAACCTCACAGGGTGATTTGCATTAGAGATTGCCGGACACATAGACGTGTTGAGTGAAGATAGCTACATACTGAAACCTCACAAATGGATTGGTTTTTGAGTTTGCCAGACGCATTCTAGACGCGATGCGTGGGGATAGCTACATACTGAAACCTCACGAGTTGAGTGATGTTGGATATTGCCGGACACGTGAACGCTTTGAGGGAGGATAGACACATACTGAAACCTCACAGGTTGATTTGTGTTGGAGATTGCCGGACACATAGACGTGTTGAGTGAGGATAGCTGCATACTGAAAGCTCACAGAAGGATTGGTTTTTGAGTTTGNCACATACTGAAACCTCACAGGTTGATTTGTATTGGAGATTGCCGGACACATAGACGCTTTGAGTAAGGATAGCTGTATACTGAAAATCCACAGTAGTAGCTATAGTGAGGGGACAATTAATTCGAGGATGCAGCACACACAGAACCGACCCCCAACCAGTACCCGAACCCCCCCTGAAAAATAGAGGCCATGCTGCCCCCCGCCTCTCTACCTCCCCCAGAGGATGAGGAGGGTACAGTCCAAAGTAAGCACAAGCTTACCTAAGGTGAATGCCTATTGGTACGGCATTAAAAAGAATATTCAAGTCCCCCATTGGGTGGTGGAGAACTTAGAGCTAAGACACCCCAAAACTCTCCGCCGTGATATCCAAAATGGATCGAACGGTGGAGGGGGGGGGTGTTCGTTGCTTGAAGTGGGTCGATAAAACATAGGGCCATCAAAGCAAAGCTTATTACTCAAGTCGAGCAAGCTGAACGACCAGACCAACCACGCAAAAACTGCGGAGCTAGACTATTGACCAAGGGAGATGTTCGTGTTTTTTGTTTTTGTTTGTTTTTCTCCCATCATTGGACCCTGTCGTCTGCCCCTCTGGCCCCTATCCTCCACTTCTACCAGC